CTGAGGACAAACAAGTTCCCTCTTCCCTACCTCAGAAACCCACCAAAAATTGTGATTATGAAGTCCGTGTTGTATTTAAGCCATAAAGTAACATCTGTTTTCTGTGTGAAAACATAAAACAACGAAACATGCAGATGAAATGGTAAACAAAAATTATATTAACAACGTGTTCTTTTTCTAAATGCAAAATGTAACCACTGTCACCACACCTCTGAAGTGACACCCTCCACAGCCAGGGCCACAGAGAGCACTAAAAGCTTGTGACCTGCAGAGACATCAAACTAGCCAGGAGCAGAGAAAAAACAGTCATCCCTGTATCTACACCTGTCTAAATAGAATGTGCCTTCTCTTCCTGTAATTCACATGTAGCCCTGCGGACACCAAAACCTTAATTTCAACCAAGACCTTCTCACACGGCCACTACTAAAGGTTTACAGGCAAAAGAAATGCATCTTTGAAAGAAGAACAGCTCAGCACTCTTTCTGCACGTCTTCAAGGTTGTCGAGGTGGAATTTAAAAGTGCATCTTACACAGAGCTTAAAAGCTTGTGACTATATCAAGCATTTGACTTAAGTAAGGTAAGAGGCTCAGTAACAATGTCCTGATTGATACTGCACTTTGAATGCAGCATCCTTGCTTCAAAATGACCCTTTAGCATGAATACTTACAACAGCAACTCTGCTCCAGTCAGGACTAATTCATAGGATGAGTATAGGTGGTTTTATCAGAGTAGTTTTTAAAGCAGCATGTGAAATACATAACTAAATTCTGGAAGTTTTTCATCTCAAACCTGCTGTCACCACTTCTAAGAACTTCCCAAAACACATGCTGCATAAACAAAGAATATGGGGCATAGGTGTTCTGGAACAAGCTGATCCCTCATGTCAATCCACTGATGAAGGGGAGTATTTTTGGCTTACATGAAGTGAAGGGGTCATATTGCTAATGAGGAGAGATGAGATCTGGAAGTGACCTGGCAAGCTTCTCAAAAGGTAGCCTTTGTCACCGTTCCCAAACCCCACTCTCCAGTTCCATGCAACTTTCACAAGCAGGGTTGAGAAGGTTTTAGACAAGTATCCAATGCCAGTGTTAACACTCTTACCTAAAGAACACCACCTGGCATATTCGTTAAGCTCTTAATAGAACGTGAAAGAACTCTGAGGGTACTTATTAATACAGTAGCCCACAAAGTCATCTTCATCTACTCTACCGCTAAGAAGGACATCAACTGACTCAGGAATATATAACAGCAGTTTAAAAAGAACACACCCACAATGCAAGTGACTGGTACCTGTGATAATCCCCAAAATAAAGTTTCTGCTTTGTTTACATGAGGTACATGATCACACACAACTGACTAGCCCATTCACTCATGAGCAGAGATTGTCATCCCCCCCCTCCAGCAATGCAAAGAGGGGAAACCTCATAAAGAAAATCAATGGACTTACATGGTTCCCAGAGTCTCAACATAAGAGGTTCAGGGCATGAATAAGATACACTGACTGACCACTAATTGAAGTCTGCCCACTTATCCATTCTGTATGTAAAGAAAATAACTAAAGAATCAACTTAAATCTGCTTTTTCGAGGAGTAACACATTTTATTTTCCTACTCCCTGCAGTGATTACATTAATTATTCCAGCATGGTTTACCTCTTTCACCTCAGCATCCAAACCCTGCAGATAAACTAGCATAGGGCTCCACACACAGAGTTCAGAATAGGCAGACCTGCATTTCCAAACATGATTCTGAACCTTAAACAAACTCTACATCACTGCTCCCAAGGCAGAGCTTTCTAAGGGGAAGTGTAACACCTCCTGTTAGGGAAATAAATGGTTTACAGTGGCCTTTGGTAAAGCATAATTTTTCACTTCACGTAAAGCTTCAGCCTGCGTCCCACAAGGAGCTGAACATGATTCTTCTGCTGAAGATAACAGCTCTCCAAAATGAAGAGGAAAAATTCCTCTGTCCCAGTCTCAGAAAACAAAAAGTCATGATACGCTGTGGTTAGAACACTGCAGAACACAGTTCATTTTTCACATCTTTCTGCCTCTAAAGTGGTCTGCCTGCCAGAGGTCACCATAAACACATCAAGATCTACAAAGTCACACTGTCTTAAAGGGCTGAGATGAAGGGGCTAAAAGAGGAAAACCAGAGTTTTTACCTTTGTCTGTGTGGTAGAGTTCCCACAGTCAACCTCATGAGAAAAATGGGTGACATTTAGATAAAGCACAGCCTGCGTGATACCTGTTGTAAATCCTGGTGTTTATAAGTAACTTATTGCTTTAGAAGATCGGTTTAATCTCCTGACTGTAGAGGGGAGTATATTATGGTCATATTTTCCCCTGTGAAACAGCTCATCTGAAATGAGGATTTTGAACCTGCGCAACTGGAAATGTGGCTGAAACAGCTCTGATGAAAGTCAGAAGGTTAGCTTATACTGCGCTAAGGCATGAGGGAATCATTTCCCCTCCACTCAGAAATACCTTTTTTTATCATTAAAAAAAACTAAATTGACAGTTAACAACATAGAGCCATATTAAAAGGAAGACACTTTAAAGCACAATCAAAGGAGCCCAGGCTACACCATATATCCCAAAGTGAACGTGATTCAGCATAAATTTGGTCACATAAACCATCCCAGGTAATGACTTAGGTGAGCTAGAGAAACTTTGCTTTCTAGCTCATCGGTAACACCAATGGAGACCACACAACTCAGTGCTGCCTCTTAAAACTTTAAACACTGAAATACTAGCAATAGGCGTCAAGTGTAAATAAATATTACACACAGAGCTCTGTTACAGCAACTGCCTTGGGTTTGTATTTAACACAACTGCATCATCCCTGCTCACGCCCTCATTGCTGGTTCTGCAACAGCCACAAAGCTGAAACCACGTTTCTTCACCTTTTTGTGTTACAGTTTTTGGTGTTGGCCCTTCACTCCTCTCTAGAGTGAACTTCTATCCAGCAAAGGCAACATGAAAAATGTAAACACAGAGTCTGTGTGTTTTCTCAGTGCTAGGTCACATAGACAACCACAGGGAAGATACAGCTGAGGCAACAGTGATGAAAACTTCCCATAAGCCAACAAGGATCAAATCAGCACAAAAGGGAGGTGCCATTTACATGCGTTCCCTGAGCAGAATACGACAGCGAGACCGCTTCCAAGGCGGAAAAGCTCAACCTAAATCAATCACTTGCTAAACAGATGACTCCTCATTTCATACCCATGATCCTCACCCTAAATTAGATGTTCCAAAATTATTTTAATCCATTTTAGACCCAAGTTTACAACTGGTTCATTAAGCACATTTTAAAAACTGATCACAAAGCCACTGAGTAAAGAGGCTGAACCTGAGCAGGACGTTTCATGGTTGCAACGAAGCAAACCTTAAGGTATCCAAGCACAGAAGCATTAAGAGCATGATTTTCTTTTGTACCCTGTAGAGTATTTTCTGCACCTTACCCCCAACAAGCAGGATAAAATTATTTCTGCTACAATAGATGTGGTGCTCAATTTATGCATCCACAGCAGAGTTCGCTATTGCCAGATGAGCATCACAGAATTATTCCTTTGCATTAGAGGTGATCCTTGGTTTTAACTCCCAAGTGGGATACTGTGGAAGCACAATATAAAATGAAGCCGATGGAGGCCAGTGAGCAGACACGCATGAGGAGTCTTGTTCTCTCCCTCATGGTGCTTGTGGTTCCTTTGCATGTTCCGCTCAGCTTGTACAACAAAGGCTGGTTAATTTTTAGTTAAGTTTTACATTTTTATTTGTTCTATAAAGGCTGATGGCTATTCTTGCACACACCTTATCTCGCTTTCACCCTCTTGACAGTAACTAACCATTTGTTTGGCAAAAATTACCAAAATGAGAAGATTACTTACATTATATTTTCTTGCTACCTGTACAGAATGGGTAGTTCTATTGTTTCCTCTTCACTGAGCAATACTTAGAGGAATTTGAGGTGGGCAAAGTTAATTTTCTTTTAAGAAGCCAAGATGGTTTCTATAAATGACAGTATCTCTGCTGACACGCTCAGAGGCGTTTTCCATCATCTCTTTTCATCAGCTTCCAAAACACACTGGGTAGAGAACATCAGACTGGATCCAGTTTCTGCTATCTCGCACGGAACAAAAGACTCAAGCGGGCACACATCTTCCCAAAACACCCCTATTCTACAGCTCTGCCTCCATTTTGGATGGCAAACAAAGGGGACAGATGCTAATATAACGCCTTATGGAACAGATGAAAAGCAAAACTCAAGTGTGAGCAAAAGGTGCAGATAAACCCAGGAAGTGCTACTACCACCGGAACAAAGGGAACAATGACAGACCCCTCGTTCTTGTATTTGGGATAAAAATAATATCTGGGGAGGAGGAAAAGGAACAGGAGAATTGGCCGATTTCACCCGGAGCAGGGCACCAGCGTTTACTTTGCCCTTTAAGGATCTCTCTCCTGAGAACTCTCCACACTGACTCCAAGCCCGGCCATGAGATGCTGAGCGCCTTCTGGTGCCTCGGGGAGCCCGCAGGGGCAGCGCGCAGTCCCTCGCCTGGATGAGGTCCCAATTCCCTCACACCCCCCCCTCCACCCAAGCGCCTCTCCTCGCCCCCAGGCCTGGGTGAGGCGGCGATGACATCCCCTCCGCTCACCCCACACCACCCCCGGCCACGCTTGGCCGCCGTGGGCTCAGGCCTAGGGCAAGAGCCGGCAGGATCCCCAAGTCCGCTGAAAACAAAGGCCACACGAAGTCCCACGCGTGGGGGGGGGTACCACGGCCGAAAGGCTTCGCTCCGCCGCCCTCGCAGCCCCGGGGGTGCCCCAGCCGATCGCTGCAGGCCTAAACCCCACCTCACCTCACCTCGCCCTCAGGTCTCCCCCGCAACGCCCAACCGGGGCTTCCCCCGGCGGCCGTGACTCACTGCGGGAGCCGCTCGGCCCCTCCACACCCCCCCCGGCCCCCGCCCCGCGGCCCAGGCCGGCGGTCGGTACCTGTAGGCCAGGGACATGCACTCGAAGAGCTTCGTGAGGGACGCGTCGATGCTGAGGCGGCCGCCGGCGCCGCCGCCGCCGCGGGCCGCCCCGAACTGGTAGGTCTGGCAGGTCTGCTCGTTGACCGTGTCGAAGTCGTAGCCCTTCTTGGGCGGGTGCTCGCTGTGAGGCGACGAGACCATGAAGTGACCCGAGTGGATGATCTGGGGGCCCGGGGGCTGCCCCCGCCGCGGCCCGCACCGCCGCCCTCCGCCCGGCGAGGCGCCCCCGTCGTCCGTGTCCGACGAGTCCTCGTCGGGCTCCGTGCGGGGGGACAGCGGCCCCGCCGCCCCGATGAGCCGCGCCGGCCGCATGAACACGTCGGCGGCCATGGCCCCGCTGCCGCCGGCCGAGCCCGCCGCCCGCTCTGCGCCGCCTCCGCCCCGGGGCCGGCCCCCGCCGCGCCGCGCCGCCGCGCTTAAAGGAGCCGGAGCGGCAGCGCTCCTCCCCCGCGGCCTGCGCCCGCCTCAGCCCCGGTTCCGCAGCGGAGGGCCCGTCCCGCCATTGCCACCCCGAGGTCGCTTCCCCTCGACGCCCCTGAGGCAGCGTCCCCTCAGGGACAGCCCCGGGCCAGCGCCGCCCGCCCCGAAGGCCACCAGGAAGCGCCCGTGAGGGCCGTCTCCCTCAGCGGACGCCGCAGCCCGCCATGACCCCACCCCGCAGGTCGCTTTCCCTCACGGCAGCCCCGGAGCCCACTCTCCCTCCGGCCACAGGAGGGAAGGGCAGGACCATCCCGCCTCCTTCCACACACAAACGCGACAGATGGCCGTGACACTCACCACGCTGCACCCTTCCCCTTGCACCACTGCCCATCATCAGTCAGTCACCTCAAGTCACCTTGAGCCATCATGCTGCTGCTGGCCCGGCCCTATCGCTTCAAGGGCTATCCTCACTCCTCTCCCAGGGATGCTGGTTTAAAGGCTCCAGCGTGGCATTCCCATCCAGCAGGACGATGTCAAGGGGCTCAGAAAACATTCCTAAACTGAAGGGACTCATGACCATGAGAAGACGCAGAGGACAGCCCGGAGCTGGCTGAAGCATGATGAGAGTGACTGCGCTCGGAACATTTAATGGCTTTAAACTAATGCAGTAAATTGCTCCAGAAGCAGCCTGCAGCTACAGAGAAAGGGTCAGGACAGAGCTTGTACTGCCAGCCTGCCGCTCACACCTACCCCAGGTACCTGCTCGTACGTGCGTAAAGGCTGCACGGTTGATCCAGGGACAGCAAAGATCAGATTTCACCCTGCTTAAAAGCATAAAGGAAGCAATGGATCCTGTAAGTCACCATGAAAGCACAGCGACAGCACATGTATTAGCCTGGGGAGAGAACAGCAGCTTACAGCACAAGAGCCCATATACATATGTATGGGTGTACCAAGTCAAGAGGAAAGATCTCTAGCTCGCCCTGTAAAGCAAACCTCCATCACCAGCAGAGCATCTGTGTTCTAGGTGGGATACCCCATTTGTACTAAATTGCTTATATTCTCTCAGTTCTAGGAAGTCATACTTAAAAGCAAAAACCATAGTCATGCTCAGGAAGGGAAGAAACCCAAACTAAACAAACATTACATTGCCACGTGCTTCTGCTTTGTAAAACTAGAAGTAAGATCAAGGAAAACTCAGGAGACACACAGCAAGTCTTGGGCACAGGGGGAAGAGGCATTTCTGCACTATCACAGTTATGCCCTTGCAGTGATCTAGTATTTTCCATTAGAGAGCATGAAACCAAGATGGGTCACTGGGTTTAGGGCAGGAATGGTAGGTCAAATACTTCCGCACACATGAAAGGAGAAGTAAGGCATGGTCGTACCATGTGAGGGCTGTTAGAAATCCTTACAACTCAAGACTAACATTTAGCTTAGTCAGCATCACACAGGGCTAAATTCTTCAGAAAAGGCCACAGAGATATTTAGCTTCAAAGCTGATTATTGCTCCCTTATATTAATGTTGGCTTAAAATAAAGACAGAAAAAATCCCAATGCTGCCTCCCAGCAAGGCATCCTGATGGGAGTACTTTAAGTCCTAAACATGAAAACATTTCAAAACAACATTCATAGCTTTACAATATCTATTTTAAATCACCCATGTAGTTTGTTTAGAACTAAACCTCAACTAAACGAAGAAAACCCCAATCACGCATCAGGCAGGATATAGAACTTCCATGACATCAGACTATCCATCTACCTCACAAAATTGTATGCAAGCCACACTTGCTTCCTCCTGTATGAAAAGGGGGGTGACTTGTTGAAATAAAGTCAGTAGGTAGCAATGCATTTTTCTAAGCAGTTAGCAGTACACCAACCCATCATTTAGAACAGGGGTAGCAGTGTTAAGCTCAAAGATTTGATGCAGTTCAGGGTTTTCTCCTCTAGCTTCCTCGGTGTAAATACTGCAGGTGCACGGAAAGCAGCATTCCCCAAAATAAATCCAGTTATTTTCAAGACAGACCTCCTGGATTGCCTTTTTAGGAGCAGCGTTAAGGTGATCAGCAACAGGTCAAGGCTCCCAGCTATTCTCTCCTCCTCCACAGTAATTCCAAGAGGGAGAGGGAAACACTAAGTAACCACAGCAGCATCATTTAAGTATGTTGCCTTTCTTAACTGTTTCTTTTCAGCAATCTGCAGTGCAAGGTGAAACACAGGCCACCATCTTCTGATGTTCCTTCAACAGCACAGGCTTTTAGCACAGGAGGAGACAGCTATTTACCGGCTTAGAATTCAGCTGTAACACACTGAACAGAGTCAAGCTGTTTAAAAGTACACACAGAGTGTACTCCACAACACTTAGTGGTAAGAGATTACCCTCCTAGATCTACAGACAAGAAGATAAGCATTCCCATTCTGATGAGGCACAAGAGCTGAAGGGATCTTACTCACAGCCTGGCTGTGGGGCTGATTGCAGGCACTGGAGTGCAGCCATCCCTCACCACCCCGCTGGCTCCTCTGCCCTTCCTGCTCCTGGGCAAACCACAGGGCCAGCCTCCAGAGCCATGCCCTGCTCAGAGGCTATGCTCTTGCTTGCTCCTTCACCCTTTACCAGCACAAGCCTTACCTGGTCAGAGGCCTTTACTTCTGGGACCCATCTTCAGTTACATCCTTGTTTCTACCTGTTCTTTTCTCTCTCTCCAGTTCCCCCTATGTACAATTCCTTTATATAAACTTGCTGATTTAATCTAATAATCCAGAGAAGAAAAAAAAACAACCCTAAAATGAGCACTTTTCTTCCCAGGTTAACAAATTCAGGTGGTTGAGGAGAGGATGCTATGAGCACCCGGTGAATGCAAGGGAGGCAACAAAACCAAGCTGGGAGCAGGCAAGCTCGCTGTGGCTCACCCTTCTGGTAGGGGTGAGCCAGCAGCCCAGTTCAGCTGTCTGTGAAACCACAGGCTACTTTGGGACAGAGCACATCAAACACTAAAAATAAACTGGATATTTATATCCCTCTTGAATGTAAAGAATCTTTCCAAAACTCTCCAGGAGTTTTACCCTTGCCAGCATCAGACTTTGAGCATGTTTCCAAACTGAAGCATGTTTCCACACTGTGCTCTCCTCACTCCAATTTCAGTTACCACAGCACGTTAGCACCTTAAATGACCAAGTTATCCTGCAGGTTGCTGTAATTACATTGGCCATATTTATTTGCTACAACAAACTATCCCCACCCCTCTCAGGTCTTTGGTCTACTCAAAGGTGAAACGTTTCACACGTTACCAAATGAGACCCCACCACAGAATGCACGTTTAAAAATACAACTTCGAAAACCAGACATTTATTGTGAATTTAAAAAGAAAACCCAAACTGAGCTTCAGTTTTGTGATAAAAGTTCTTCACACAGTTGTTCATGTTGTGATTTTTTTATTTTATTTCTGAAATGAAACCATTGTACATTGTACAAACCATAACTACCGATGGAATAAATAAGTGAAAAATTATACTGCTGTACAACACACACACACACAAATCATAAGATGGAAAACGATTAGGTATTGAAGAAAACAAAAATCTTTACACCTTCTAACAGGCCCTTAGATAGAAAGAACATTCCAAAACATGACAATGTTTGATGTATGAAGAGAGCCACCCAAAACCAGTATTTTAGACTGCCTTGTTGATTTTTTTTTGTTGTTTTGTTAAGTGCCAGCACTTTTTGGAATGTTTAACAACTACTTTCCCAAGCATAAAAATTCCAAGGAATAGTTCTGCTATAAAATGTTTGGCTGAGTAAATCGCTTATTCAGAAGGCCTTCCCACGTGTTCCACAGACTCAGCTAATTCACTTGCTTCGAGTTTCTTTTTTGTCTTTTATTTTTTATTTCCTTCTTTTTCCTCTTTTTTTTTTTTTTTTTTACTTTTGTATTTATTTGTAACTGAAGCTCCAACATTCAGCATTGTAGCAAGGAAGCACTTCTTGATATTTGCACTATTTCTAAAACGTCAGCTGTATGAGAACTTTCAGTCAGCTTGAAGAAAATTACATCTCTCCTTCTGCTCCACGTCTCAATGCTTTCAATAAACCCTTTTACAGTGAGTTCATAAACCCAGTTTCTGGTAGAGATAGGTCCAAACCAAAAAGAAGCTGGATTTAAATCTGGCTTCAAACCCTAGGTTGATTTGAATTTGATGTTCTGGTTTGGTCCCATCTGTACTTTCTGGCATTAAAATGTGTTTAATCACATCCGTTGGCCCATAAATGTTATCAGGCACTTCAAAAAAAGACTAATAACAGTCTTAGACACTATTTTGGATTTCTTCATACCAGATAATGTCAAAGTCTCCTCCTTTAGAGACTGACAATAACGGGTCTAAGGAACCCAAATCTATCTGCTTGTTCAGTTGTCTGTTGTCACTAGAATCTCTGGTTTAAAAAAAGAAAGAACAGTTCTGAATGTATTCTGTATAAGCTGTAAATAAACCATTACTACTTCAGAAATAAAGCCTCTAGGAATAAATATGGTTATGATGCCTTGTCTTGTAAGCCACAGAACAACGAACAGTTCTGAGCAGAAGCCACAGGAGAGAAAAGGAAATTGATAATTAAACCTGTTGATGTCAATAATGCCAATAAATGCTTCTATCTAATGAAAAATTTTGAGGTATTTTTAGTGCTATTTATATATTTTATTTCTTCCTAAAGTACAGGAATTAGTTTCTAAATGAAAAGTCTATTTACTCCCTTGGAAACGTCTACAAAATTAAAGTTAAAAACTTGCTGCGATGCACCTGAAGACCGGGGTTAGTAAACATGACTAGTGTCAGAGGTGGCATCAGACTCGTCTTGTTTTAGCATTAAAAACAACAGGAAGTTAGCAAAGCAAAAATATTCTTACGTTTGAATCTTTCTAGATTTGCCCATTTAATATATCAATAGAACTTCTCACAAAATATCACTTAAATCTGAATGCAA